ACTGTTAGCTCGTGTAAGTTTTTTTTTTTAGATGATACAGTTGATTATACCAAGATAGGTTTTCATCAAGATATATTCCAAGATACTTTATATATTTTGATGGAAAAAGTTTTTTACCGTTAATTTTAATTTTAATATGATCAATAGTTTTTTGAGGGGAATGAAAAATAATGTATTCAGTTTTATTGACATTCAAGGAAATACGGTTACTATTTAACCAGTTACATAAGCGATGAAGATCTTGATAGACTTTTTTACAAATAGTCGTGAGGGATTTGTTGATATATAAAAGATTGGTATTGTCAGCATAATGATGTATCATAGAATTTTTTAACGAACAAGATAAATCATTTATATATAATAAGAACAACAACGGTCCAAGAACGGAACCTTGTGGAACGCCATATTTAATAACTTTATGTGTGGATTCAAATCCATTAATTGAAACAAACTGAGTGCGATCCGTAATATATGAAGAAAACCAATGATTAGCAATACCACGTATTCCGTAGTTGTTTAACTTTTTTATTAGAATGTTGTGATCAACCGTATCAAAAGCTTTTTGAAGATCTATGAATACACCACAAGCAAAAGAACCACTGTCAATTGCACCACGAATCATTTCAGTAATGCTAATAAGAGCGTGAGAAGTGGAGTGATTTGAGCGAAACCCAAATTGTCGAATATGAAAACAAGCAGACTTATTTAAAAAGTTGTAAATACGAGAATACATAAGTTTTTCTAAAAGTTTGCTGACATTTGATAATAATGAAATTGGTCTGTAGTTATTACGTTCAAGTTTTGAGACTTTTTTATGAATTCGGATAACAGAAGCAGTTTTTAAAATATCAGGGAATACACCGGTTGTGAATGACAGATTAAATAGTTCAGAAAGTATAGGAGAGATATCATTTGCAAGAGCTTTAAAAATAGGTATTGGAATGCTGTTAGGTCCAGAAGCCTTGCTGTCATTAAGAGAATGAATAATCGATAATACTTCGTTTTTGTCTGTAGGTTTTATGAACATTGAATTAAGATTAGGATTTTTAAGATATTTATTAAAGTCAGTATTGGATGAGTGGATCTTATTCTGTAAATCTTCCGGAACTGAAACAAAAAATGAATTAAAAGATTCCGAAATTTTAATGGGGTCGTGTATCATGGAGTTGGTAGAAGATAAGCATGAAGGAGATGAGTTAACTCTCGAACTAATGTTTAAAAGGTTCTTAATACCATTCCATGTAGATTTCAAATTTTTGGCATTGTCAGAGAAGAACTTAGAGTAATGGTTCTTTTTACTACGACGGGTGAGAGTAACAAGTAAGTTTCTATATGCTTTATAAGATTTTTCTAGATTGAGTTTGTTATTAGGATTCTTTGTTTTAAGAAATTTTTGTATCAACTATCTTTAGTTAAAGCAAATCCCTAGTAACATTTATAAACAACTGCTGCCTAGCATTGTTAAACTGCTGCTTTATTGATAATATGCCAGTATAAGTCTACCTCAAATGATAAGATTGATTTGTAGTAAAAGTTAGGGCTTTTAAAAAGTACAAATAAAATACTATGTTGGTGGTAACCAGGGGCGCGAAAAGCATTTTTTTGGCTTTGAAATAGCTAACTTCCAGACATAGAGCAAACTCCAAAAATTTATATGTTTATACTTATGTCAAATAAGGATGCTTTGCAAAAAATTGGGATGATTAGAGCTTGGGAACAAAAAAGCCCAAACTTTGTTTAAGTTTTTCGAAATTTTATTAGATTTAGGAGGAGCAGACCCTTGAACACTTACCAGGTCCCTAATATTATATTAAAAAAAAAGTTTTTCGAAAGTATGTCATGTTGGGTCTCAAAAGAAGCGAAATTATATCAAAATTAATAAGATAATGATATTATTAAAAAATTATTATTTTAGAGTTTTTTGCAGAAAAATGACCTTATTAACCTGAAAATGAAATAAGTGTATTTTTCTGATAATAATCCAAAAAAATCTTAAAGAATAATTTTATTATAAAATGATTGTTTTTTTAAAACTTTTTATATAATTTCGCTTCTTTTGAGACCCAAAATGCTTGTGAGAATCAATAGAAAGTTTTAAGAATATGAACAGATCTTTTTTTTATAATATAGGGGGCGGATGATACACCCTAATATATATAATGTTACTCACGTTATGTTATTATTATATTTACTTATATTTTTCAAAGTAAAAAAAAATTGCCTTGAAAAAACTAATATTCTAGAGCACGGTAAGCATGTATAGTATTTTTGCTATCGCATTTGCGGAAGACTAGGTATAGGAAAATGCCCAATTAATGCGTTCTTTGTTTATTTATTTTTTTAGAAATCATAGATTTAGCTACATTGTCAAAAGCCAACATGGATAATAGTGTAAATTTTCATGTATTTTGCTAAAAAAATTAAAACTTGTTTTTTGTTTTGTATTAAACAAAGCTGTTTTAAGTTAAACCATTATGATAATTAAACTTTTATAATGGTTTATGTTTTGTGAAACTAATGCATTCATTAAAAGTGTAAAATTTATAATTCTTTCCGTTTGGAAAGGCTGGATACTTTATATGGCCATAATTTTCAAACATTAAATAATTATTAGATGAAATTTAAAACCCGTCAATGGAATTAAATTTGATTAAAGCTTTTTAAAGTTTATTATGAAAGCCTAATTTAAAAAGTCTTACATTCACGTAACATTCGAAATTAGTTCTTCAATTTTTCAAACCTATTCTATGATTAAAAGAATAATCATTGCGAATGTTTCTTGTTTGTTTAATTTGAACATTTTTTTTTCTAAATTTCTGTTTGTTTTTAGGGTTTTACTGTTTATATTTAACAAAGTTCTTATATTTTTTATTCTTACATTTGTTATTCTTATACTTGTATATTTAATACTTAATCATTTAACATAGTAATATTTAATTTATAAATAAATAATTATTTAACATTGTAATATTTAATTTTTAAAAGAATAAATTAACAATAGTATATAATGAAATGTACATACTACTTTATAAGTATTTGTAATAAATAAATAAAAAGATTTAACTTGAATATTGAACGAATTTTTAATGGTTATATAAATCATATTATTAACGAATATTTTTTTAAAATTTTCTTCTATTCACTTTTTACAAACATTTTTTTTTCGTGTTTACAAGTTGAGTAATGTCTAAAATAATGACAGATGATATCTTAAATAATTTTTATTCTTACATTGTTGTACAATATCATATATTGAATGACATTAATTTTGGAAATGTGGAGCATAGTTATTTAATTAAAACGCACTTAAACCTCTTAAGTCAACTTAAAAAAAAAAATTTTGTTAATTGCATATTTGGTAAAAGGTTTATGCGGAAAATTACCACTACTTTGAGCTTACGTTTGTCAACCAAAAGTTATCGCAACCAACAAGGTACTTCTGCTTCATTATTTATATACAAGATGAGATTTCCAGTTAAACTTAAGTTCTTTCATTTGCTTTAATTTAGTTGTTGTCTTTACTAATATTTTGTTAAGATATGCACCGTGTTGGTAAATATTTTTATAGAAAGATATTTATTTAAGAGCGTTTATGTATCTAACCCGTGTTACAGATGCAAGCAAAGTATTTAATGCATATTACAAACATTTTGCATCAAAAGCAACATAGGATTAAAATATTCAAAATTTCATTATGTTGAATAAAAAGGTGCAGCAATTTGCAAAAACAAAAATAACTAGGAAAAAATTTAAACCCTTAAGTATTTATAAGTATTTAAAATAGTAAGATATAATTGATTAATATTATCAATCAATTTAATTAACATTATTTTATCAGTCAACTGAAGTGGTAACATTTTAATTGATATTAAGGATTAAATTGCAACTTGGTAACACAACCTTATTAAACATCTTTTTTAAACGCTTTAATTTTTGAACGATCAGGTTTTTCTTAGAAACGTTTCTTGAAAACAGGTGAACTTCAGATTATAAAAAATACCTTGAAATATTATAACCTCCTTGTTGAAAACAGTTTTTCCTTTTTGTTGAGATCTAGGAGCAGTTGCAAAGAGTCGGCTTTATTAAAAAAAAATTTTTAATAGTTTTGTAAATTATCAAATTTTTTAAAAATAATAAAGTTTATGTTATTGATTATAATATGTTATAGCAAAATTTTTTTTTTCAGTGGAAACCAATTTAACGAATAATCTTTATGATTAAATTAGTGATTAACAATAATCCTAACTTTAACCCTGCTTCCATATGTTCTTACGATTTTATCACAGAACACCTCATTTGAATATATAATTAATACAATGCTTAAGATATGATAAAAACTTAGATTACGATATGATAAAAATAAAAAATTATAGTTTTTAAAGGTATTAATTTAGTTTTGAAACTAAATTTATATATTCATTCTTTATAAAAATTTTGTAACATTAAAAAAGCTGTAAATGAGGAAAAAATCGATATTTCACTGACTTTACCCAAATTTACGGAATGATTTAATGCTTTATAACTTTATTTCTGACATCATTGTTGCAGCTTTTACTTGTGACACTATTATTTTAGCTTTTGCTTGCTATATTTTAGTTTTTAATTTTTAATTAGTGACAAAGTCAGTTAATTTTTATTTGTTGCTGTTATTGGACATTAAGTGACGTTGTTGGTATAAAAATAATATATTTATAAACTAAAAAATAAAATTTTCTAAAAAAGAAAGACCTCGCATAAAAAAGTAGAAATAAATGAATACCATGAGAACACTGAGAGTATTTAATATTTAATACTTTAATATTATATAGAATTAAAAAGGCAAGAAAACGTGTGATTTGTTTTTTAAGCATGTTTATTGTTATTTATGTTTCACAGTTAATATCATAATAAAAAATAACGATTGTCAATGACATGATTTAATGTACAGCTATATCCACCGTCACATAATGTGATTCGCATTTAAGGATAAACTATTTTTCTAAAGGAATTAGAAAGATGATATACATAGCGTTTTGAATTTGGTTTCTTGCTTCTAGATTTTTTTTGTAATTAAAGTTAATAAAAATTAATTTTAGGTGAAATAAATAAATTTTTTTGGAAAAAAAGAAAAGAAAGTTATAAAATTCAATGTTGGTTATGTAAGTAATTAATTTTGTTATAATTTTTTTTTCTGATTCTTAATTTCATTCATTCTTAAAATAATCGGTTTACAAGTTCAAGACATTAATTACTTTTTTATAGTAATGAATTATATTTTTGTATGGGCTTTTTAAACAAAGGTAAAAAGTAAAACTAACAACAAATATTGTAAAAAATAAGTTTAATAAAATTTACTTTGTTAAAAACTATTTAAAAATAAGACAAAATTATTTAATGTTATATATATATATATATATATATATATATATATATATATATATATATATATATATATATATATATATATATATATATATATATATATTTATTTATTCTTTTAATTTTTTTATTATTAATATTGCGTTTTCATAAGGTTTATAAATTCTAGGCAAATTTTTGATTTTTCCAACAATTTTACCAACCTTATAAACCTATATTTCTATCGCTCATTTACAAACCATATGAATTTTTTAGAGTGTGCATTAAATTTGAGTTTTCCAAAAAATTCAAATCTGTAAGAATACAAAGATATAACGGAAGCATTAATCAACCTCAAATAGTGTAAACTTAAGTGTTAGCAAAAATATAAAAATGTTCAATACTTTTTTTAAAATAAAAATTAGCAAACATAAAACAATTTGCAAAACGTTATACAAATCTCATTTTTAAAATAATTAAGTAATTGTGTACAAACTGTTCATGCACCCAAGTAATTGCAATATTAATCCATTAATTAAGGCGCAGATACGTTTTCTGATGTTTGGCATAACTAACTTTCGGACATGGGACAAACTACAAAAATTTATTATATCTTTATTATTATGTTAAATAAAAATGATTTGCAAAAATTTGCGATGATTGAAGTCTGGCAAGAAAAAAACCTTGTATTTTTTGGCCACAACTGTCCCAAATAAGAGAGCAACAAGTTGATAAAGTATTTTCTTTCACTATTTTTTTTGTATGAAGTTTAAATTTATTGGTAAATTCCAAACTTCATACAATAATCTCTTAGTGTTCAAAAATTATGGCTATACAAAGTTTGAATCTCCCTCGTGTTTAGGGGGTTTGAAATTTTATATTTTTTACGCTCAAAATTTTACAACTTTTTATAAAAATTTTATAATTTTATAAAAGTCATAATTTTTAACGCTAAGAGAATAGCTTAAAATTTATCGATACGATATAAATTTATTTAAGAAAAGTACAAAAAAAATCTCATACATAAAAAATGCTGGTAACCTCCTGCTGTATTATAGATATAATTGATTAATGATATAATTAATTTGATTGATGTGAAATTAATTTATTAAAACAACAAACATAAATATTAAAATTATCAATACGAAAAATTATATAGTTATTACAAATATTGTAAAAACAATGTAGTAGTTTTCAAAAAAATGTTAAAAAAACAACATTAGTTAACATATTATATATTATATTATACAATATATTATATAACATATTATATAATATATTATAATAACATATTAAAATCAAAACAAAAAAAATAAATAAACAAAACCCAAAATAATATTTGTACAATAGTGGTAAAAATAACAAAAGCCGTATTCAAAATCATAAATACAGTAAGGGGGTACTTTTTACAAAATCATAAATACTGTAAGAGGCAGCTCACTTGGTAAAATTCATCCCGCCTATAAATTCATCCGGTATGAAAAAACAACGGAGATCTTGCCTCTTCTTTAAAATGCGTATAATTTAAACATTGCGTTCATATGTAATTTTAATCACCTCGCCTAGGTTCTTACGCTACACGGCAGAAATCAGCACCACTCGACAATCTCAAATTTTAATAAAATTTTGTCAGTATTTTGATAAACAAGTTTCATGAAGATTGACAAATTTTAGATTACAATATTTAACATTTTGACATTTTGTAAGACAGTTAAATTTCGCATTGTATCAGTAACTATAATAATAGTTCAGCTCATTTGTAAACACGCTGAGTTATTCTAAAATAAATATGACGCCAAAAATAAAACACGCAAAAATGACATGTATTTGAATCCCTAAAATGTTACGTGGGAATTTTTTTATTTTTTTATTTGATTATTGAAAAGAAATTATTTTACACTTCTTGACACAATAAAAATCATTTTAGAGAGATTTATTATTTATCAAACGAAAAAAATTTAATTGCATGAGTTTAGTTAGGTCTGCAAGGTCATTGATATTTTGCAAATAATTTTGTGGTCAGGTACCTGTTATAAGCTAATTTTAGAAAGTATATTTTTATTATACGGACAATTATTATCTTTATTTTTATTATTACGCAAATATAGAAACGAAAACAAGAATAATTTGTTTATATCGTGACATTACTGTTAAAGTGCTTGTTGTATTGAAAAATTTGATGGAAGCTAATGCCATTTAACAACTTAATCACGCATTTACAGCGTCACTATTCAAACCCTTGAATGAATGGCCAATTTTTGCTCACTTAAAAAATTGCTTATACTTAAAGTATTGATCAATTATACATAAATTAGTGATCAAGAGACTGCAGAATGTCCAAATTGACAAAAAGGCATGAATTTCCAACTTGAATGCTCTTCTGCGGTGTTCTGTGATAAGATCGTAAGGAATTCTAGGAGCACCTTAATAACTAGGTTAGAATTACAGTTTATCACTATTTGTTGCTTCAGAAATTAATTTAAAAATTGAAGCTATTTTAAATATTTTAGTTATTTAGTTGAATTAAATTACACGGAACGGCCGCATGGGAGAGTTGTTTGTAGGTGGGCGAAAAATGCAACCACTTACGAGAGACTTGTGGGAGTTTAAGTTCAAGCCAAAACTGTTCCGAGGTTTTGAATTGAAAATTGTTGTGTAGTTGAGAATGTTGCTCACGTTAATACTGCTCTTAACATAAACGGCTACGCCTCCTCCACTACAACAACAACCTTTTCTATAGATATTGTAGTTTGAAAGAACAGGTGCTGAGGATTCATCAAACCAAGTTTCTTTAGTAAAAATGATTCGTAGTTGTAGTGGAACGTTGCCAAGGCAAGTTTAGTTAGTTTATTGGGGTGTAGAGATGTGGCGTTAGTATAGAAGCAGTTTAGTAGTGGTTTAAAAACACTGTTTTGTAAAGTGGGCAAAAGCGAATTGTTGATTGTGGAAAAAAAGTCATGTGTTAGATGTTGCAGCTTTTGCTTGTTTGGTTTAGGCTGCTACAAGTGCTTCTTTCGAGTTGAAAAACAGGCGCTTATCCAAGCCATTGACTTTGACTTTTTTTGCTGACGCCAACGCATTTGACTCTGTTGCTAAGGATGGCGAAACAAAAGGGCTGGTTGAGTTTACCATTTGCTTTAAGGCCGTTGTTGAGTTTGTACTTCATGTTATTTAATTTGTTGAAAAACCCTCTGAGGGAGTTTGACCCTCGGAGGGAGTTCGATCTGGTCGTATATATACACTTTTATTTGCACCATTGGTAGCCAGATTTTTAGCGATTGCTAAAAGACAGTTGCAAAAGTTATTTGTTGCAAATTCTATAATAAAAGATGGTAAAGCTGGTTGAGTGAGTAGTGCGGCAGTGTAAATTGCAGATGTGCTAGTGTTTGGCGGTGATTTGTTGATTTATTAGAATTGGCGGCTAGGATGCATCCTACAAATTTGAAAGAAGCTGAGCACTGTACAAAATGTGTAATATCCTTTACAGATTGATCGGTGGTGGAAAAACTGGTACTGGCTACTTTAGGAAGCCCTTTATTAATGGCTCTCTTAGCTTTTAAATGTTGAAGCCTGGTATTTGCTTTCATCGCATTTATGACAGCATTGTTAGTGGCTGACCCAATTTTGGCTAATTGCGAGGTAAATGACTTTAGGATTGGTTGAGACTGTAAAAGCAAAAATTAAATAACATATTGATCTAAACAGAGCCGACCATAAAAAATGCGAGGCCTGGAGCAAAACACGTTTGCAAGGCCCTCTAGAAAGTCATCATTTTAGACGCTTTGACGAAAAAAACTATTTCTCTTACTGTCTGAAAAGAGGTTGAGTAAGTGCAAAACATAAATTTTAGGTTGATATAATTTTGAGTTGTTATTTTCGTGAAGGTTCATAAAAGGTTCTGATTGCTTTATAAAATAATCTAGAGTAATAACAATAAAGTTTACTCTTAAAGTTATTAAAGGCCAAATAATGTAAAATAAATAATTATTATTGTCTGACAAGAAATTAATGAAGTAGAATAACAAATATTTTTTTTTTGCACTTGTGCAGTATGAGCTTCCTTAATTTGATACCAAAGCGCTTTTACGTTTTCCAATTTACTTTCCCAACGAGTATCACAGGACCATTTTACAATCTGATTTAGTACGCGTAGAATGAAAATTTGCCATCGCATTTTCGACGAAGAAAAAAGTACATAAGTTCTTTGCGCAGCACCAAAAAACGTCATAGATTTAGATAAACATTTTGCTGCTTCCCTAATTGAGAAGTTGAGGCTATGGCTAGCGCAGGGCGTGTAAAACACTGTTGGATTTATTTCTAAGATTTGTGCCTTTACTCAAGAGTTACTTTTTATATTGAAACCGTTAAAAGTTTAGAACCGTTAAGATATTGGAACCATATAAGAGATTTTTTCCCATTGTTGATTTAACGTCTAAAAATCCAAGGAAATGTTCTTTGATGCTTACATCTTCATTTTTTACTCTTAAGAGAAGTTGCATTCATATTAATTTTTACAAATCTCATGACCAATGATGATTGCTAAGATCCGGTCTGCAGCCTATTCATTTTTTACCTTTTTTTATTTAATTTTTTTTATTAACTTTACTTTACTTACGTTACTTTTGAATTTTATTTTATATTCTTTCATTTAATTCGTTTTCATTTCTTCTTTTTAAATATTTTGTTTTTACTGTTTTTTTAATTTTGAAAAACAAAATAAAATTTTCGCCTGATCTACTAATTTTTTTTTTTAACTTTTTCCCTATTTAAAAAAGTATTTTATAGCCGTTAAACAGAAGAG